ATGGATGGATGGATATTCTCCCCCTAAAAAAATTGTTGTTGACTTCTGCATTGCCATTTTTGTTAATGTATGCTCAAAGAGAGGATTTGTCATAACAGCTTCAATGTTGTTGTTTTTTTGTTTTGTTTTTTATGACACCCATTATTCAGAATCAGAGAATCAGAATCAGTTTTAATGGCCAAGTACGTACATTCCTAGGGCTGTTGGTGTCGCCCTAGGAATGAGCAAGGAGACTAATAGAAATAGGAAAATAAAAAATAAAAATAAACTAAAATAACTGTAGAAAGAAAAAATAAAATAAATAATAATAAAAACTAAAATAAGATAACAAATAGATACAAGATTAGAGACTCTTTGATCTACATGTCCAGTATAAAAAATTGTAAATCAATGGCATGCTAAGAAATAACATTTTGTCTCTTTTCAACCAAACAATACAAACAATTTAAATGAAAGTACCTGATATGGCAATCTAAAATTTCACAGATACCATTTTAAATATCCATAGTTTATGATTTTAAAAAAAAAATGGTTCAAGCAAATCAGAGCTGGTCGAGCAGAAGGCCCCATTTTTTTGTTTGTTTGTTTTGTTGTTTTGCTATTTGTGTGCCACCCCAAGACCTTCATTGACCCCCTCATCTTCGCCCCTGCTTCGGTATGCGCCTGCGCAGTCTGTGTGCAGCACAAACCGTTGGTTTTAGCGGCTGCAGCGAGCGTTACTCAACGGAGCCCTCTGATTGGTCAGCGGCTCACTCCCAAACCCCTCCCCCCTCTGTCCCCGCAACTCAGTCAGCAGGCAGCCAGGCAGCCAACGTCTCAGCGGCGAGTTTTCGGGCAAGTTATCAAACAAAGGTTAGTAAAACAACCCTCTGTTTTTAACACAAACCCTTCGAGTATTGGTACATGTAACATTTGTGTCGTTTTCTGTGCTATTTGTTTCGGCCACAGGCTGAAAAAGGCCCGAAAATGAGTCAGTTTAAAGAGCGCTTCGTGACTCTGCTCCACGAGAAGAACTTGGTGACAGATCAGTTGGCGACGCTGGAAGAAAAAACGGGAGTGAAGAGAGAATATATCGCCGTGGGTATGTCAACAACACACGAAAACAGGAGAAAACATAGTTTAACACCTGTACTTTGTACCATACTGGAGATATAATTGAGCTTATCGTCAAAAAAAGAAAAAAAAACTCGGTACACCCTTCATGTTAAGCAAACAAGCCGACGTTAGCCGGTTTAGCTGATAAGTTACCATTCAAACCGACTGGCACACTGCTGTGGTCACAGTGTTGCATGACTACGTGTCTTCTCAGTGTGGTTTCATATCCTGTGACACTGTTAGCTGTCTCATTTTTATTGCCAATATACCAAAGTTCAACCAGCTCAGGCCTTTATGCTGCATTGCAAGATTAGAGATGGTGTATCATCCCTCTAATGCACCTATTTCGAAATATTGCTGCTTCTAGTATCCCAGATCCACCACCAGCTGGTCCTCAGGGGGGTATTTTTATCACGTCCTGAAATACCCAGTGCAAGGCAAAGATGGAAGTACATTCTAGGATGACTGGTTATTCAGCTGTAAGCTGCTCCCCCAATTAGCTTTTGGGAGTTGTGTTTTGACACAGCCCTGTAGTCAGTTTGCACAGTAGAAGTCAATAAAGGCGAGAGACCTCAGGCAAGTTTTTCTACAATGCCACTCAGCTGCAGGAAGCATGTCAGCCAGGGTGACCTACATTCAAATCCACTGTCTTTATTCCAAATCGATCAAAACAGATGTGTGTTCACATTTAAATAACCAATTTCAGGGTCAGAAAATATGTGAATGTTGGATGCTACATATGAAGGATTTCTGTTTTTAGCTGCATTAAGTCAGACATGGATCACAAGTCTGCTGGCAAAGAACTGTAGATTTTTTGTTCAAAGAGAAAAGTTACCCCAACAATAAATCTGGACTGTTATTGGACTAACTAAAATGTATTAATAAATTCCTTTTAATTTACTTTATTGGAATCTTGTCTAAAACAAAGTTGCAAAACACTTTACAATAAAAACATATAATAAAAGATATAAAACTCATATCTTAACATTTAACAATTTACAGGTTTTTAAATAACTACAAGAGTTACCATCCATCAGGAAAAGCCAAACGATAAAAGTGAGTTTTAAGACGAGATTTTATACTTTGCAGCAAAGTCTGCTCCACTTTTGGTGACAAGAAGTGAATCAGGAAACACTGGTAACTGTGCAAGAGTATCTCAAGCAACGATTACATTCATTTTAAGTTCATGGATCAGATTTTAGTGGCTGATATTGTTATTCGTAAGTCTAAAAACATGTAAAAACCATTATGTCCTCAGATATAATTTTTTTTTAAAAACCTAATAAACACAAAACATTTTGGTAAGGATCCTTCAGATTTGATTATTTAATGCCTTCAGCATGACACTGAACAACTGAAAAGTGAATGTAGAGCTCTCTGCTAGACAAATTATGTAATGGATAACCCTGTAAACTAGAGCTCATATGGACCGCTGATTAATTTCAATGAACTAAACTGATAAATTGTTTTCTGTGATGTGCATTTTTCACTTCTTTCTGTTTGACATCTTATAGAACAAGTGAATAAATAGTTAATTATAAAGCAATAGGCAGATAATGAAGGCAATTGCTGTGGTTTCTTAAAGTACAACAAACATATATTTCGCATTTCTATTCTGCACTTCATTGCCTTTTCTATGATGCTGTTGTGAGGCGATAAGCTGATATAAGCTATCATGTGGTCAGTAAATGTCAGTGTTGCAGATTCAGCTGCTGATTTTAATCTGCATTCAAATGCTTAAATGTTTTTGCTCTACACCTACCACAAAAATGACTAGCAAAACAAATAGCAGAGATTTTTTGTAAATACCACCAAACTTGTCTCTACCTTGCATTTAACACAAGGTAGAACCAGACAGAGCAGCCAAATTATACCACGTCTTGTCCTGCTTGTGGAGATGTATTGTTAGTGTCATGTGAACTTGAGAAAATAGCCATTCATTTGTTTCTTTGGCCACATTTCAGGCGTGTTATAAATACTGATGATGAGTTTCAGTTTGTTCCTGTTGCCTCACTGTAAAGTTATGTTGTACTTTGCCTTTGTCTGAGCTAGTCAGAGGAACAAGGTTACAAAGCTGCTGAGAAACATCTCGAGTTCATGCTGACTCTTGTGACGCCTCAAAGTGTGAAGACCAGTGTGCTGACTGGAGTAGAGACGGCTCATCTGTACTATGCATGCAGCCAGATGACTTACTGTTAGTGGTTATGAACTTCATGTTTTTAAAGCCAACTTCAACCTCTCACCCACTGTACTCATAACAATGGGGTTTTGTGATAATTTGATGTTAAGCGGAACTGGATTTTCAGCTGGACTGCCGCTACCCTGTAATTAGTATGCTTGAGACATATTTTACAAGATTACACAACTGTGTAGTGACTTCTGACCCTTATTTTCAAGTTTTCCACAAGAAAGACATCATGTCACATGGATGCATTCATTGTTCATTGTCTTGGAGCACTTGAACAGTTTGTTGCATAGAAGAAAATATCTAGCAGTGAATTTTTTTATGAGTCATCACTGACCAATTAAACACACCAGTTTATCATTTCCAGATGCAACACTGCTGCTCTGCAGACTGGAGCGTTTGTAAGCCAGTGTCTTTGTTCGCTTCACTTTCAACCAGTTCTGCCACTTTGCCTGGATTAGAGGGAGCTGGGTAGACAGAATTGCACAGATATTTGTGTATGAGCTGCGACAAACAAATGAGATGTAAAGAGCAGGCGGTAGTTACAGCAGCATCAAAGGCTTTTAGTGCTTTGAAAGCTGTGCGTCTCCATTATGCTCTTGGCATTTGTCATATTTTAATTTCATATCAGCACTTGTGTTTTGCATAAATTTGAATGATATATGGTGTTGCTGATATCTACAGAAGCTTATGGATCAGTCTTTCTTCTTGTCCTAGTTTACCTTAAACCTGGTTCCCAAAGAAACACCATCTGAATATTGAAACTGGGAGTGTTCCAAAAATATACATATATAAAACTGTCTCTGCACATTTTGAAAGAACAGAATCTCCCTTCTGCAAATAGAAGAGAAAAAAACTGATTAATTTGGAGAAATTTAGAGAAGTCACTAATGGCAGAAGTGGGTAGGTGAAAAGAGCTGGCCACACTGCAGTGGACTGTATGTTTTTTTTGTAAAGTCAGCATCTCGCTGTCAGCCAGCCAGCAAGCTGTTTAAGCCTTTGAGGGATTACAGTAAGCAATGCAGCCAAAGTGGTGTTGTTAAAAGTAAGCAGCAAAAGCTCTGTTCATATATTAATCAATAAATTAAATTACTTTCTAAAACTTACTTTAAAAAGAACAAAGCTGTTAACTTAAAGTTTCATATTTCCAGTTCTAACCTGCTGCTTTGCTTAGTTTTACTATAGTTTATTATATTTTGGGTGTTTAATTTGGTTGTTTTCTCTACTTGTCTGTGTGGTGTTATTGAATGTGTAAATTCAATTATATGTTCATTACTGTACATGATCATTTTAACAGTAGAACTCCTCACTATATTTAATTTACTTCAACATGACGGCAACAAACCCAACGCTGAACATTGTAGGCATCATAAAAGTACACTTACTTTGGCTGTTGTTTTCTTTAATTATCTCTTTGGCTATAAAATGCTGGTAAACATTAAACAAAAACGTCCATTTTCACTTTCATAGGTCTTCCTATTGCTTTTATTAACAAACCTATGACAATGCAAATTCCAAAGATATTTAGTTTAGTGTTATATGACAAAAATACATCAAATCTGCACATTTGAGAAGCTGGGCTTACGTTTGGAAATATGTGTTGCATTTAAAGGCATCTGTTTAAATCTCTTTGTACATTACACGCATACTGTAGTGCAACTGATGTTTTAAGTCATGCAGAAGTTGTGGTATTTGTGGAATCTCTCACTTACTTTGGCTCCGTGGACTTGAGCTGCATAGTTGGACATAACTGTGTGAGCTTTGAGGTGTATTGAAAGTCAGCCTCTTCCACTGGCTGGACTTGAATGTCAGTGTTTGACTTGTATGTGGTGCTCCTCCTCATCCTGGTGCTGTGCAGCCTGGAGATCCTGCTAACAGACACACTTTGACAACAAATTAATGTGGCTTGACATGAGAGGTGTTTGTCAAGTAACCGGATAACCTCCCCCTCCCCCTCGTGTCGTGCCGTCTGCTCTCACCTCACTTGCCTCCTCTCATCTTTCTCTCTGCAGGTATTCTGGGTCTTATCGGGCTGTATCTTCTCTTTGGTTATGGAGCCTCACTACTCTGCAACCTGATCGGCTTTGCCTATCCAGCATATTTCTCGTATGTATGAAGTCACGCTTACTTGAATACCATTCACATTTTCTTCTGTTTCTTTCCTTTATGAACATATAGTTCAAAGTCAGTTCGCAGACAACTAGAGTTGCATTGAAAAGCACATTTATATCAAACTATTAATAACTGTGGCCCTTCCCAGTCAGGCAGTATGATAATATCAGAGCTTTATGACCGACACATCCAAATGGAATGCAGTCGTTGTTAATTATTAAGTGTAATTGATTAGGTGTGTGGTTTTTGTGCTGCATATCAAAATATGTTCTGTGCAAAAGGTCATTTTTGCCTTTTGTAATACAACTGAGACTTTTACTTTATGGTTCGCTGACATTGGCTGATTGTACCTCATCTCAGCTTGTCACCATTGTTTGTCACATTCAAGTATATATTAAAAGACAAAGGTGTAAAGGATAGGCTCTGATTTTTTTTTTAAAGTCTGTCAACACACAGCTGCATGCATGCGTGCACACTGAAAAAATGTCCTGGTTACTGCAATCATTTTTCCTCTCCCTGCTGGCTGTAGTGATGTCCTTGAACTGTTCTCCTTTAGTAAAAAATGGTTTCTATGTGGAACCGTTCCACTGCTGCAGCTCAACAAAGAGAACACTGTCAGCAACACAAAAGAAGAGTTTGTGTGAAAAGGCCAATATTGGAAAATACTCACTCACTGAGGCTAGCTTAGCTTGTGAATGTATTATACACAGAACAATGACTTCAGATTTTCAAACACGCCAACACAGAGCAGGGATGGTTACTGTTGCCACCAACTGTTGATGTGCTGTTAACAAATATGAGAGACACCTGACAAAATTTAAACTAATAAGATATGGTTCTCCTGTGGACTTCTTATTATAAACCAACTTCTTTTTAAACAGTCAGCTCACTACAATTAAATGGTGTGTACTCTTCAGGCCTGAAGCATCTTGACTACATTCCCTACTCTATAAAGAAGTACAGGGATTTTTGGAAAACAACATGCATGATACACACATAATGCAGGTAGCTGTCCTGTCAGAAAAAGCTTGCTCTGCAGTCCAGGATATCACTACTTAGAGTTTGGACTTGAACTTTATGCACCATGAATGTTGTTACCTCATCAGGTCATTAGCTCAAACTTATCATTCTGCCCTTTCAGCATCAAGGCCATTGAGAGCAAAGTTAAGGAGGATGACACACAGTGGCTGACCTACTGGGTTGTTTACGGAGTCTTCAGCATTGTTGAAGCCTTCTCTGACATCTTTCTCTCCTGGTTCCCATTTTACTATGCTGGCAAGGTAAGCTCACCTTTTTAGTTTGTGGAGTGTTTTTTATGGTACTTTTGCTGTTTAAATTCTTTGGCTCCTCTGTATGAAACTGACAACAAACTTAAGTCTACTCACATGATCAAACCAAAAGCTGTCAGCTGTGTTGAATCACGAGGTTTGATGTCTGCAGGCCTTGACTTTGATGCTTGCTAGCACTGCACTCTTGTGGACACATTGCGTAATGGCAGAAGAAGGAATCTGCTGCATGCAGAAGGGTGCATTATGCTACATACAAAATATGCATTTTAAGAAGGTTTTGATTATGTTGTCTGTTCATACTGGGAAATTATAGTCCAAAAAAAATTAGTATGCAGATTGGTGGACACTGTCATCTGATGATACACTGAACAAGAAGAAATATTGAATACTTGTGAGACAGCTCCAAGAACCCAGTTATTGAAGCTTTTGCAACACTGTTTACTGTCTTTGTTGCAGTAAAAACCAACGTTGTAGTTATATGCGCATCTACGTGCATGTAAATGTATTGTACCTTTTTTTTTTTATGGAATTGGGACACTGCAATTCTCATCAGTTTCACTAGAAGTGGTTCTCACCATTTCATTTCCCGTTTGATCTGGGACACGAGTTTCTCTTCTGTAGTCTGGAAAAGTAGTAATCTGTGTCATGAGACAAAGTGACCCCACACATCAGAGAGCTCCGCTTTGACCATTCAGAGTCACATCCCCGTGCAATTGTTTCAACCTAATTACCAAGATCGCCCTTGCTCGCCTTCAGTAAGATGGTTTGCTTTCAATGAATAAACTTAGTCCTGGAAAAATAGGACTAGTCAACAATGTCTCATCCAGTGCAATGGGTAAATTAAGATAGGCTTGTCAACACAGCAGCAATACAATACAGCACACATTCTAGCAAAATGCCAACACTGCTCTTGTTAATTGCACACAGTTTATGTATCACAGGGCTGCTGCTTACAATTATTTTCATTATTGATTGAGCCTTACATTTTCTTTAATCATGTTTACTGATTAGTCTGTAGACTTTGAAAATGTTAGATAATACACAAAACTAATTTCCTGTCCACGGTGACATCATATTACTTGTTTGTTCCGACCAACGCACCAAAACCCAAAGTTCTTCACTTTGTTATCACTAAAGGTAAAGAACCTAACATCAGTCCCTTTAGACAGCAGCACGATGTCTGAGATCTGCTCTCTGCTCTCTCCTCAGTGTTTGTTCCTGATTTGGTGTATGGCTCCAGTGACGTGGAACGGTTCCGAGATCTTGTACAAGCGCGTGATCCGGCCATTTTTCTTGAAACACCAGGCTACCATGGACACCATGGTCAGCGACCTGAGTGCCAAGGCTAAGAACATAACTGAGACCGTCACAAAGGAGGGTGAGCTGGCCGCTGTGTACATGCAAGTAGAGCCACATTTAATTACTGCATGCAGCAACGTATTGATTCAGTCGACAAACCGGTGCATCACCTCACACATTATTCACACTGTAGTTATACACCCTCAAATACAGCAATATTTTTGCACTTTCCTTGTTTTTTTCTTAAGTTTACAGTCTATTTTTTCTTCTCTGTTTATTCCATCAGCTGTTAACCGGGCCCTCGTCCACGACAAAGAGCAGTGAGAAACATGGAAAGGGCCTGCTGTGTATGTGACTGACTGACTGGCTGACTGGCTGTCTGAGTGAATGAGTGAGTGTATGTGTGTATGTATGTTGTTCGCCTTTGGTTTGTCCTCCTCCTTCCATGGCAAAGATGTTGACTGACCCCTACTTCATGTGGTGAAATGAAGCTTCACACTCCTCCCATGAAAATGCATTAAAGATTGTGCATCCACAACAGTTTACGTCCATCGGTACTGCTAAGACAATCGGTTAAACTGTGACTTTTTTCATGTGAAGTGTGACAAAAGAAGCAGAAAGAAAGACATTAATAGCAAAAAAAAAAAGTATGATTGCATACCTGAAAGTTGAAATAAATATGTCAAATTGAGCCATTTGTGACAGAAAACTGAGGCTGGTGGTGCTGGTTGTAAAAACAGGTTGCCTTAAAATGTTTTCATAAACAGCCTTTTTTTATACATTGATAATCAAAACTGGAACTTTTAAATGCCATCAGTACCTTGTTGCTCTCACTAGCCTTATTCTCGTATGTGCCCAGCAGAATTTAAAGTCTGTTTGAGCTATTGGGAAGGTTTTCAATCTTTAACAGTAACTGGACAACTCCTGTCTTTTGATATGTCTTAATTTATAATCTCAATAAAACTGGAACCCTGATGAACTAAAGGTTTCTGTGTTTGACTTTAAACTTGCGGATTTATTTCTGTTCTTTCAAGGGCCCCTTTTTCCAAGCACCTCACAAGGTGGGAAATAGGATTTTATTTGGTCCAAATTACAACGTTCACGCTCCAGTGATTTCTGTAATTGTTTTTTTTTTTTATAGCAGTGGCGAGTCGGGGAAATTGTATTTCTGGATCTATAACCTCTGCGGATTTAGTTCTAGTTCATTTTGCTGCACCGATGTTTTTTTTTTATTAATTAACTTTATCTGCAGTAATTGTAAAAGGCGCCTGACTATCTCGCTCTGTGTTTTGAGAAAATTAAAAGTTTCAGTAACCGTTTTTGAAATTGGAATATATCAATTTAACATTCGCTTTAAGTTTTAAATTAAACTAGATGTGGGTTTTTTTTGCATAGAATTAAAGCAGTGAATTGTAATCTCTCTTCAAACATGGCTGTAGATAATGTGTTATTTCAGATGTTTGTGTTGGGATGTTTTTAGCAAGGGAAACACCAGGGCCGCGCTGCCATCCTACGTATCCACTTGATCTTTTGACCCGTCCCTCTTAAGTACATTTGCCAGCATTCAGACAGCCTAACCACCCACACATTAATTTGTGTGCAACTCTGTGTTCACGCTTGAGGGCCTCTGAATTGGAGGCCCTTTGTGTTTGTGCGCTGGATGTAATGCATGGGAAATGGTGGATGTGGAGCCAGTGTGATGGCCACACACCAGCGCAGAGGGAGGAAGTCACCCATCTGGAAATGACTGCCGTGAAGACGCGCCTGCTGGGCGTTTGTTGTGCGTGCCCTCGGCCGCCGACAGCTGGCGGGATATCGATTTAACAGAAACGGGACCTAGAAACCAATTATTGCATTGTGTTGCTGTTTGGGTTTGATCCACAGAGTGTGTATTAAGTGTGTGGGGCCTGTAGTGGCATTACAAAAAGAGCTGAAGGGAGAAAGCATGTCTTATACATACACAAGTATTTTCCAGCCACCTTATTTCTACGAGCAGCAGTGATGAATTCTAATGACTGTGGCCGTTCTTTTTCTTCTCACGTAGCACCGCCAGCAGGTCAGAGTTTTCACTTATTCTGTGAAATATGTCAACATCTACTTGGCTGATTGGGACAACGTTTTCTACAGACAGTCGTGGTTCGCACTTGGTAAATTCTAGCAGTTTTGTCGTCCGATATGCTTCCAACTAGCTAGTTTGGAGTGAAATACCTTAAGTATTGTAAGGCTTGCTAGAAACTAGATATACACATCCCTGTTCCCATCCATCCATTATCTATACACCGCTTAATCCTCATTAGGGTCATGGGGGGCTGGAGCATATCCCAGCTGACTTAGGGTGAAGGCAGGGGACACCCTGGACAGGTCACCAGTCTATTGCAGGGCTACACTTAGAGACAGACAACCAAGCACACTCACATTTACACCTACGGACAATTTAGAATCACCAATTAACCTTGTGGGAGGAAACCCAAGAACCCGGAGAGAACCCACGCTGCACGAGGAGAACGTGCACACTCCATGCAGAAAGATCCCAGGTGTCCTCACCAGGATGCAAACCAGCGACCCTCTCGCTGCGAAGCAACGGTACAAAGGACTGAGCCACCTTGCAGCCCATCCCCGTTCCCCAAAAGGTGAATTTAAAAGAAAATCACAGTCTTCTGGTTAAATATGTGGCCCTGCTGTATGTTGTTTTTTGCTGGGGCATCTGCACATTTAAAAGCATTGAATTATTTTCCTTCAGCAAACATCTCAGAAAGTTTTTGTTTACAGAAGTATTGAAAATTAACAATAATCCCAGTTTTGTGAAGCTGTTGTGCTAGATGCTATCCTGTTTTGTTTTGTTTTTTTACAGATGAACAAACTGGTAACAAAATGTGCATGTCAGCTTCAGTCTCATTTTTGATTTATGATTTAAATCTGACTCCGCGTACCCAAGCCGATTTTTTTTAAGTCTACATTTTCTTGCACAGTCTCTCCTCCTTCTTAAACCTACATCATCTTCACCGCATATTACAACCACTCCTACTTTCAATAACTTTAATAACCATTTTAGTATCTGCATCTATTTCCAGGTTTTCTTCCACCCCCTGCAGTTCTCCTGCCGGCCGACAGAGGGGGACAAACTCAAGGCTGTGCGGACGGTGGAGTTGGTGAGTCATACAGTGAGACCATCACGTACAGACAGCACGGCTCAAAACAAGGCCTGGTCTGACTTGGCCATGGGCCTGAATTAGCACCAGGGAGAGGCTTATTCACGTTTATAATTGCGATATTAACCGAAACCAGTGACATTTTCTGATGGATGCCGGCGTGGGCTGAGAATTCAAAGTGGGCTGATGCACCTCTAGTATATGGGATCTTATTTGTCATTAATTTTCCCATTAACTAAGAAGCTATTTTGCAACATTATGTAGCTTTTAGGATGCGCGTCCTGCTGCGTTCACTGCATTCGTGATTAACTTGCGCTGTCCACGGTGCTGAAACACAAAAGAGGTCGCTGTCCGTGGTGCTGATCTGGAATCATTCAACCAAATGATGCCATAATACTCATAATAATACTACAACTATTGATAAGATCAAATACCAAAACATTTAACCCTGTCATTTCACTATTTTAACATCATTTAAACCTGATTCGTACTGTGCTTCTACATCATGTCATAAAGTAGCTTGAGTGTTATCAGAATGTAAAATAACACTTAAATTCCACACCTGACCCCACCAAAAAAAAATAATCTAATATTTATGACCTTTTACCCTCACAAAATTCCATTCATCACTTTTGGTTTGCCTTATCATTTTGTAGCTCCAGGCCAAATGAATCTGGCATCAGTCTGCCATGGCTCTGGGGAGATCTATCTGATGGTGGCTGCACTTGGCTGTGGCTGAAATATTGACTGAATCGTTTGGGAATGACATGAGGCTCTGCTTAGGTTGCAATTTCTGACTATAAGTTTCATTTTTCTTTCTTTCTTTTTTTAATTTTTTTTTTTTCTTTTGCTGCTCAGGGACCCACAATTTGTTAACACCTCTATTTGGCACATATAAGTTGATTATAGCATTACATATGGGTATTTAGTTTTTATTAGTGATGCCATATTTTTTTCAATTTTGTTCTCATTCTCAAATTCCCACACCTGCGGCCTCCACAAAAGGAATTTTTAAAACAAGAAAAATCCCTTATTTTGCTGCCATCCAACCACTAGGAAGTGTATGAACTGAGAGAAAAATCAAGTGTGGACAGAAAAGGGAGAGGGCATAGCACCTCCCACGTCCTATCTGCGAGAAAGAGCGAGAGGGAGAGAGACAGAGAGAGAGAGAGAAAGAGAGAGAGAGTGTGTCTGCTGCCTGCCTGCCTGCCTGCCTGCCGTGGTGGTGTTGGAAATCGGACGACATGAGCTCTACATGAACCGCGTAAAATGCTTTAAGACGCTTTCGGCGTTTGTCTCTCATCCTCCTGAACCAAGGACGAGCCCGAAGAGGAGCTGTACTTCGCGACCAGGTACGGAGATGCTGCTTCATCCCCGCATCTTTACGAGGAGATTAGATGTTGGTATTCAGTGGCGTAACCGCGGTTTCCTTCTGCCTGGCTGCCTGGCTGCTGTGCGCACACGATTTCCTGCTGTCCCTGCGCAAAAAATCGCTATTTTTCTCTATCCGTCCCGTTGTTTTTTTTAAAATGCGTCCTATCACATTTTGTGTTCGATAACCTCGGTCGTGTGCGGATTGCATACTGTAGCCTATGCCCAGCACAGCCATATTGGCAGCCAGCGGGAGGAGGAGGAGGAGGAGGTGGATGGGAGGGAGGGAGGGATGGATGGATGGGGAGAGCAGAGATGTGAGGGTGTCGGGATTTTCATATGCTTTGAGGAGTAAAGGGAGGTGGAGGAGGAGGAGGAGGAAGGATGGCTGGAGGAGGGGGAGGTGGTGGGGGGGACTGCGAAATGATGGCACCGCTGCGAGATGGCGATCCTCTGGTATTTATGAATGAACCGAGCAGCAGGAGTAGGGTGGTCTGTAATGGCGTTGCGCACCAATCTCCAAGCCTCCCCCCCCCCCCTTCCTCTCCCTCTCCTACCACCACCTTCTCCTCCCTCCCTCCCCACTTTCTCCTGACTATACAGTCGAGGCGGAGATGCGCGTCAACATCCAGCTATACACTAATAATGACGCCTGCGTGACGCATAAAGCCCGATTTCTGTGTGGAAATGCTTCGGTTAATCCTCCATCTGGATGCATGTTTCTCCACGTCTCCTCCTCCTCTTCCTCCATGTCTGATGGGCTGTTTTTTTTGTTTGTTTGTTTTTTAATTCATTTTGTTGCTGTGGACCATGCATAGAGAGGAGAGCCGTCATATGACATGCGAAGGGGGGAGTTGTGAATCATTTAGACCCTTTCTGTGCATATGTATGTGACTCAACTTCCTGTATGCATTGAGCACTGCCAGTCATGGGTGTGTGTGTGTGTGTGTGTGGGTTGCAGGGTTTGAGAGCAAAGAGGAGGAGATGTATGGCAGTAAATCCTGCGAGTAAAGCTTTAAAGAGTGTGCTTCAGAGCAGCATAGAGGCTGTATTAAAAACGTGCATGTGTTGGAGGATAAATGGACATGTGGGCAGGGGGGGAGTCTGTCGGTCGGTCTGTCTGTCTTGAATGGCCACAGCACAGTTGCATAAGAACACTTCTCAGTGCTGAGGCAGGACAAAGAAATGACTCAATACATGGTAACAAGCAACACCAGAGAAAGAGAGAGGCGGTGATGCTTGTGATGCTTGTGATGATGTTCGAGATGAGATCTGGTTGATCAGAAAAAAAAAAAAGGATGTGAGATACCCAATAGAGATGAAGAGAGAGATGCAAATATGTTTCCTGCAACATTTTAATCAGCTAACAAGAACAAAATGAGGAAAGGGGACTAATAAAATACCAACACACCCAGAAGATGCAGAGACACACTCATTAGAGGAAAGTTGTTTGCTTTATATTTA